GGTTGTGTCATCCGCATAACGCAGATTGTTGATAAATCGTCCACCAATCTTGACCCCACATTTCTCCTCATAGAGCCCCGCCTCCCGGATAATCTTCTGCATTAGCAACATGGTTTCACTGTGGCAAAACTCTCTAATACTAAGAAGCTCTGGTGGCCTAGTGGCAAAAAGCTGAGCTACCATCACCAAAGCACACTATTTGTATCTACCAGATACTCAGGTGGAGAAGGAGGGGCAATCTCTTCCTGTGCCAGTTGGATCCGATTCAATAGTGTACACACACACACACACACACACAACTGTCTATCAGCAATAGAAGCAGTAAGTAAACTGTGGGTGGGAGTGGGGGGGTGTGGGTAAATATATATAGAGAGATATATACTTAAACAATGGAGTGTTAAGATAACCATGAAAACGAAACGAATGACCAATATATATATAAATCATCATGGAAATTTAAAAAAAAATAATGTTGAGTAAAGAAAGTAAAACACGGGGGAGCTCTGGTGGCCTAGTGGCAAGACGCTGCACTGCAATCCCAGAGGTACGCAGTTCAAATCCACCAGATGCTCTGCTGGAAAAGGAGGGGGCAATCTCCTCTTGTACCAGTCAGATCTGATTTGACGGTACACATAAATATAATAAAAAAAAAAATTAAATATATAAAGACTTACAAAGAACTATATATAACACTAAACAATATAGATATGACCCACAGTCTGCTCCTGGCCAAGTTTTGACTGATGATACTGAGTTTTTCCAAGGATTTCTTCCACAAATGTAGTCAATCTGATTCCTATGCTGCCCATAAGGTAAAATCCATGTGTAAATTTGTCATTTACATCTTTTAGAAAAAGTATTTGCAATGAATAAATCACTGTAAATACAAAACTCAATCATTCTATTTCCAGATTTACTTATATTGCCCAGCCCGTATTTTCCAACTACTGCTGGAAACTTGACTATTTCCTACTTTTGCATTCCAGTCACCAATTATCATCAACACATCCTGATTCATGTTCAGCCAATTTCAAACTATTTCAAACTGCAACATTTGGTAAAAATTCTCAGTTTCTTCCTCTTTAGCTCTAGATGTAGGAGCACATATTTGAATAATTGTCACGTTAATGGGTCTTCTTGGTATGCGTGTGGAAATTATCCTAACACTCAAAACATTTCATGATAGAACTTGAAATTGACTTGTTGACTGTGAATGCAATACCATTTTTCCTGTTTTTCATTCCTTGCATAGTATACCACAGGATTATCTGATTCAAAGTGGCCAAGGCTAGTTCATCAGGCCTACTATGTCTATATTCATGCATTCCATTTCATTTTTAACAATACCCAGTTTCCCAACATTCAAGCTACATACATTCCATGTTCCACTTGTTAAATGATGTTTGTCATTCCATGTTCCAATTATAAAGTGATGTTTTTTATTGATTTTCCTCATTTCAAGTGACTTCCAATCTGGACTCTACCACTGCACTACTATATGTTTAGTGTTCATAGGGTTTTCAAAAGCCTTGTATTGGCTGGAACACTAAACAGATAAGGAACTGCCAGAAGTTCAAGAGAGATTTAGAAGAGGCTGTGGCACCAGGGGTATGAATGCTGATGTCAGATGGAGCTTGGTTGAAAGTAAGGAATACCAGAAGCAATGTCTACATGTGCTTTATTGACTATGCAAAGGCATTTGACTGTATGGATAATGACAAGTTGTGGCTGACACTGAGAAGAATGGGAATCCCAGAGGATCAGGAGGCTGTTGTGTAAATGGAACAGGGGAGCACTGCATGGTTTGGAATTGGGAAGGATGTGTGTAAGGAATGTATTCTCTCTACATACCTGTTCAATCTATATGATGAGCAAATTATCTGAGAAACTGGACTCTATTAAGAGGAGTGTGGCATCAGGATTGGAGGGAGACTCATCAATAACCTGCACTATGAAGATGACACAACCTTGCTTGCTGAAAGTGAGGAGGCCCTGAAGCACTTGTGGCAGAAGCGTCTCAACATCAAGAAAACAAAGATTCTTCCACTGGACCAACAGGCAGTGTCATGATGGATGGGGAGAAGACTGAAACTGTGAACAGCTTCATCTTGCTTGAATCCACAATTAACACCATTGGTACGAGCAGTCAGGAAATAACGAGACTTACTGCACTCAGAAAATCTGCACTTAGGGATTTCTCTGAATTATTGAGTAGTGATGTCAGTTTGAGGACTAAGGGGCGTCTGATTCAGGCCATGGTCTTTCTGATTACTGGCTATGCATCCGAGAGCTACACAGTGAATAAGGATGACAGACAAAGAATTGATGTCTTTAAGTTGTGGTGCTGGAGAAGAGCACTGAACATTTCATGGACGGCCAAGAGAACATACAGGTATGTCTTGGAGATGGTAAGGTCAGAGCACTCGTTAGAGGTAATGAAGAGGCTTTGCTTCACAAACTTTGGGCATGTTGCTAGGAGGAGCTATTCCTTAGAGAGAGACATGATGCTGGATAGGGTGAACTAACAAGGTGACTGCTTGAAATGGGCTCCTGTGTGTCAGGAAGTGTGAGAATGGTACAGGACAGAACACGATTCAGATCTATTATTCATAGGGTTGCTATGACTTGTGCTTTACTTGACAGCACCTAACAACAAACAATATAGAAAAGTTATAAAAAATTGAGGCCAAATAGTGGTTACCTGAAGCAGTAAAATGTATGGGAAGGGGATGCCCCTGGGAGCAGACACACAGGGGCCTTCTACTAAATAAGTAATATTCTGCTTTGACAGATATGTGACCAGTAGATGAGGGCTCATTTCATTATCATTCTCTAAGCTAAATATATAAATTTCATACATCCTTTTATAAGTACATCATATTTCATATTTGAAGTATTTTTAATCCTAACTGAAATTTATTTTTCCCAAATTTTCAATTATTCTATATTATCTATTAATACACAAAGTTGATTAATTATTGAGGATAAGTATTTCCTCCAGATTGCTTTTATTAACTATTAAGACCATAAAAATAGACAAAGCTCAACCAGTACTTTTCAACATAAGAATCCTATATACATTGCAAGCGTAATTTTGAAATGGACAATAAAACTTAAATTGTAAAGAACAGTCATTTAGAATATTCTTTAAATAAGATTTTATGGAATTCTTATAAAGTACTAACATCCTATTCTATATTATTTCTTTGGATTTTTATCATATTTTTATGAATAATGTTTAATTTTTATTTCCTTATTTTTTTAAAAAATTCTTATTTTTCAATGAGATGGAAGCAGCACTCTCCAATTTCGTTTGGAATGGAAAGAGGTCCCAAATAAGTAAAGCACTCCTTAAAAAGAAAACAAGGTAGGAGGCATCTCATCCCCTGATTTCAAATCCTACTATACTGCCATGGTGGTCAAGACAGCATGGTACTGGTACAATGACAGACACATAGATCAATGGGAAAGAACTGAAACCCGGAATTCAGCCCATCTACCCATGGTCAACTCATTTTTGACATGGAGATGAAATCATTTAAGTGGGGAAATGACAGCCTTTTTAACAAATGGTGTTGGTAAAATTGGAAAACAATCTGTAGAAAACTCTAGCCAGATTCACACCTGACTCCATACACAAAAAAACAACTCAAAGAGGAATAAGGAGCTAGGACCAAAAGCAAGGACTATAAACTTCATTAGAGAAAAGCTTGGAAGAACCCTAGAAGCACTAATCCACAACATGAACAGTCTTCTAAGGATCCTGAAAAACCTACCACAGGAGAGGATAAAAGAGATGAATGGGACCTTATAAAAATCAAATCGCTATGTACATCCAAAAACTTCTCCAACAGGGTAAAAAGAGAAGCCACAGACCGGGGAAAAAAATATTTGGTAAAGACATGTCTGATAAGGAATTTATAAAACACTCAAGCACCACAAAAAGATAAAGGAAAACAACCCAACTGAAAAATGGGCACAGGATATGAAGAGACACTTCACCAAAGAAGACATTCAGATGGCCAACAAATACATGAAGAAATGTTGAAAATCCCTACCTCTAAGAGAGATGTAAATCAAAACAACTGTGAGATATCGTCTCACCCAGTAAGAAAAGAAAAATTTAACAGAACAGCAAACAACAAATGCTGGTGAGGTGGTAGAGAAACTGGGACCCTTATTCACTACTGATGGGAATGTAAAATCGTACAACCACTGTGGAAGGCTGTATGGCACTTTCTCAAAAAGTTGGAAATAGAAATACCATTTGACCCAGCAATTTGACTACTGGCAATATACCTTAAAGAAACCAGAACTGCCACTCAAGCAGATATATGCACACCCATGTTTATTTTAGCTTTGTTCACAATAGCAAAGAGTTGGAAACAACCCAAGTGCTCATCAACAAACGAATGGCTAGAGAAGCTTTGGTATATTCACACAGTGGAATAACTATGCTGCACTAAAAAAGCAAGGAACTCATGAAATATTATACAAAATGGGTGACCCTGGAGGACATTATGCTGACTAAAATAGCTCAGTCACAAAAGGACAAATACTGCATAGTGCCACTGTTGTAGAACAGGACTGACATCGGAGAGGGAATAAATAATGTTTACTGCATTGAAACAGATGAGGGAGAGAACTGTTTAGGGGAAATATCTGATTAAATATTATTGTTATGACAAGAGTTCAGAAAGCAAGCTGCATAAGTGGAGTGAGTGGACTGGGGAAGTTGTCAGAGGGCGGGGTTTGGGGGGCTATATAACAATGAAATAAGTGGGTTGTTTTTTTTACTTTTCAGAGAGAAAAGTGAATTGGGGTCAGGGGTGGGCAGGGAGGAAAATGTGCAACAATGAATGAATGGAAATCCAAAGTCTCTGTAAACGTTTATAAAAATTAACTGGAAAAAAAGGAAAAAAATTCTTTAGTATTTTTACTCTATTTAAAATCTAGGAGCACTAACTTTTTCTTTTGTTTTAACTATTAATTTGTTTCTTTTAAATTGTGATTTGATTGACAGTTTATAAAAGTGTATTGGGATTGTTAAGATTTTATCTCCCAACCAATCATACATGTATATTCTATTCCCAAACATTAATTACAATATAATTTGATTGTCCATTTATTTCATACTGCCCTTCTTTCCACTTATCCCATTAATAATTGATATATGCAAACCATTTTTATTGGAGCATTTACTGCAGAATTATTCATACTAGCAAAAAAATGGAAACAATCCATCATTGAACAAGTGGACTAACTATGTTACAGTATAAAATGGAGCACTATACCACACTGAAGAATTCTAAAAGCTCTACACAACAAGCATTAAGTCCAGAGAACATTATATTGACTGAAATAAATCAGTTACAAAAGGAGAAATATTGTCTAAAACCAAATATACAAAAGAGAGAGTTACGTTTACACACAGAAATGGTTAGGGAAAGGGGAGTAGAAAAATAACAAGCAAGGAGCACAGGCATTGAAAACAGAAAACAGATCTCTTTTCCTCTCTTTCCCTTCTTCCCAGCTCAATATTCCTATATATCCTTCCGTCTTGGGCCGATAACCTTCAAAAGCATACTCTTATTAAACATTTACAAAATTACTTTTAGATTTTGACAGAAATAGTAACTTTGTTATCTCAGTATAAAGACTGCTCCAAAATCCTGAAGGTACAGTGATTGGAGTTTATTCTGAGATCAGTCTACTAAAAAAAAAAAAAAGATCAGTCTACTAATTATAAACTTAAATAGAATAATTAAATTGCAAATAAACTTTTCTTAATGATGGAGAGCTTAAAAAAAACCAACCCACCTCTGGGATTCTAGACAATAGTACATGGAAGTCATGAGACTGTAAAGAAAGCATGTGAAAAGCTGTATGTAATCTCAAACCTACAGAAACTGTATGAGGCAGAGCCCCTCTGTTCTTATGCAAGTTCGAGAATACAGGGGAAACACCCAGCTTAGACGAAGGGAGTCCAAGGCAAAAAAGGGGGCTTTGCACTTTCATTTCAAAGAAGCGTAAAAAATAATGTAAGCAATTCCTACCTATATCAGTCATCCAGACTACTAATTTCTCAGCTAGGCTAGAAACAGATGCAGAATGCTTGAAATTAAACCTGTAAGAGAACAAAGTGTGAAGTTATTAAACAGATCAATAAAACATAATATTGCCTTATATTTTGAAAATAAAACCTGAATAATACAATCTGAATAAATGTTACCTGTTCTCCTCTTGTTCTGGTTGCAACTTCTGGGAAGCTAAGAACAAACAATATGAAATTAATATTATTCTGACAGTAAATATGAGAAATAAACACACAATGTTTGGAAATAAGAATTCATTAGAGGCAAGCTCTGGTGGCCTAAAGTCAAGAAGCTGCACTATAATCCCAGAGGTAACAGTTTGAATCCACCAGATGCTCTACTGGAGAAGGACGGACAATCTCCTCCTGTACTAGTCAGATCTGATTTGGTGGTACACACACACAAATAATAAAAAAAAAAAAAGAATTCATTAGACAATATCTCCTAAAAGATAGTTTTAAAAGCTGTACTCTAGCTAGTTAGAAAGTATAATGTCTTCATCTACAACCAGGAGAGGATAAAAGAGATGAATGGGACACTCTATGAATCAAATCCCCATGCACATCTAAAAACTTAAAAACTTCTCCAACAGAGTAAAAAGAGAAGACACAGATTGGAAAAAAATCTTTGGTAATGACATGTCAGATAAAGGACTTCTATCTAGAATTTAAAATATACTAAAGCACCACAAGATAAACAACCCAATTGAAAAATAGGCACAGGATATGAACAGATACTTCACCAAAGAAGACATTCAGGTGGCCAACAAATACGTGAAGAAATGTTCACAATCCCTACCTCTAAGAGGGATGTAAATCAAAGCAACTATGAGATACCATCTCACCCCAGTAAGAACAGCAAAATTTAACAGAGCAGCAAACAATTGCTGGTGAGGTTGTAGAGAAACTGGAAATCTTATTCACTGTTGGTGGGTGTGTAAAATGATACAACCACTACGGAAGGCCTAACAGGGCTCTCCCAAAAATTTGGAAATATAAACACCATTTGACCCAGCAATTCCATTACTGGGAGTTACCCTAAAGAAACCATAGCTGCCACCCAGACAGATACATGCACACCTATGTTTAATGCTACTTTGTTAACAAAAGCAAAGAGTTGGAAACAGCCTAAGTGCCCACCAACAAACATATGGATAGAGAAGCTGTGGTATAGTCACACAATGGGATACTACACCGCATTGAAAAACAAGACCCTCATGCGATATTATTCAAAATGGGTGACCTGGCAGGACATTATGCTGAGTGAAATATCTCAGTCACAAAAGGACAAATACTGCATAGTGCCACTGTTGTAGAACGGGACTGACATCAGAGTTGGGGGGAAACTAAGAGGGAATAAATAATGTATATTGCATTGAAACAGATGAGGTAGAAAACTGTTTAGGAGGAATATCTGATTAGGTATTACTGTCATGACAAGAGTCCAGAATGAAAGCTGCATAGTGGAGTGGACTAGGGCAGTTGTGGGGGGAATGTATAACAATGAATTAAGTGTGGTATTTTTTTCTTCACTTTTCAGTGAGAAAAGTGACTGGGGATAGGGGTGGGGAGAGAGGAAAGTGTGCAACAATGAATGAATGGAAATCCAAAGTCTCTGTAAACTTTCATTAAAATAAATAAGCTGCTAACAACAACAACAACAAGAAGTATGATTTGCATTTCAACTCTGCCATTAACACTTATTAAAAATTTTTCTAGGGAGACTTTAAATTACACTGACTTACCTACAGTTATTCTGGATAAATACTGAGGTGCTTCATCAGAAACAGAGTTCTCATCTCCAAGAACATAGAGTGCCATACTCTGCATAGAGAAAAAAATCAACATTTTTGCAATTAAATAATTAAACCCAGGCTCACTGAGATATAATGTAAATACAGAAAAATTTACCCCTATTATGTGGGAAGCTTTATAAGTTTTGACAAATGCTATTCTATGTTGTAACCCCTACCACAATAATGATATTGAATGCTGTTGTGGGTCGAGTAAAAACTGCTTCCTAGCTGAGAACTTTAGTAGTCCTAATCCACAACATATGTGGTGGTCTCTGGAGAAAGGCGTCTCTGCCTCCAGGAGCCAGGGAAGCCACGCTTGGCCTTGGGTGGAAGGCAACAGCGGCTTCAAATCCAAAGGGAGAGGAGGAGGGAGGAGATGGCCATAATTGCCCAGGTTCGCTTCACCCAGGGGGCTGTGATTCTTTGGCCAGAGAGCATGGTGCTGAGTATAGGGGAGTTGTGTTGTGGCGGTCTCTGGAGAAAGGAGACTCTGCCTCCAGGAGCCAGGGAAGCCACGTTTGGCCTTGGGTGGAAGGCAAAAGCGGCTTCAAACCCAGAGGTTTCCATAATAGCTTGCCTCCGGAAACCCCATGAACTTGGAGAGAGGATGAAAGGCACCCAAGCGTCAAGGACTCTCCTTCATAGGGTCGTTATGAGTCGCCTGCGACTCAACGGCACTTAACAACAATAACATCACCGGAGAGAGAACGAGAGAGAGAGAGAGAGAGAGAGAGAGAGAGAGAGACAGAGAGATCAGCTGGCCCAGTGAAGAGGAAACGATGTGACCAAGACAAAGGTGGGTGACACTTAGTTCGCGGCCCTCTGGCCAGTCTTCCATTGTTTTTGTTCACACATTCCTCTAGGTCGTATAGCCCTGGTGTACAAGTTGTGGTCTCTTGTGGTTGCTGTGAGGCTGAACCCTGTGACACGGATGTGTCAAATGCCTTAAAGGTTGGCTACCCAATGCGGACTGAGAGTGGGGTGGAGCTCCCGGATTAAACAAGCGTGGAAGGAGGAGTGGCATCCACTTCCATTAACAGTTTGCTTCCTGAAACCCTATGAACTTGGAGAGAGGATGAAAGGTACCCAAGCGTCAAGGACTCTCCTTCATAGGGTCTCTATGAGTCGCCTGTGACTCCACAGCACTTAACAACAACAACAATCCACAACATAAAGAGTCTTTCAAGTATCCTGAAAAATTTAACACCAACCAGGAGAAGATAAAATAGATGAATGGGACCTTCTAAGAAGCAAATCTCTAAGTGCATCCAAAAACTTCCCCTGAAAAAGGGAAGGCACAGACTGGGAAAAAGTGTTTAGTAATGATGTGTCAGATAAGGGACTTATATCTAGAATTTATAAAATTCTTGAGCACCACAACAAGATAAAGGCAAATAATCCAATAGAAAAATGGGCACAGGATATGAATAGACACTTTACCAAAGAAGACATTCAGATGGCCAACAAATACATGAAGAAATGTTCAAAATCCCTACCTCTAAGAGAGATGCAAATCAAAACAACTATGAGATATCATCTCACCCCAGTAAGACTAGCAAAATTTAACAGAACAGCAAGCAACAAATGCTGGAGAGATTGTGGAGAGACTGGAACCCTTATTCACTGTTGGTGGGAGTGTAAAATGGTGCAAACATTGTGGAAGGCGGTATGGCACTTTCTCAAATAGTTGTAAACAGAGATACCATTTGGCCCAGCAACCCCACTACTGGGAATATACCCTAAAGAGACCATAACTGACATCCAAGTAGATATATGCACACCCATGTTTACTGCAGCTTTGTTCACAATAGCAAGGAGTTGGAAACAACCTAAGTGCCCATCAACAAATGAATGGATAGAGAAGCTGTGGTATATTCACAAGCAACTATGAGATACCATCTCACCCCAGTAAGAACAGCAAAATTTAACAGAACAGCAAGCAACAAATGCTGGAGAGATTGTGGAGAGACTGGAACCCTTATTCACTGTTGGTGGGAGTGTAAAATGGTGCAAACATTGTGAAAGCAGTGTGGCCCTTTCTCAAAAAGTTGCAAATAGAGATACCATTTGACCCAGCAATTCCACTCCTGAGAATATACCCTAAAGAGACCATAACTGACATCCAAGTAGATATATGCACACCCATGTTTACTGCAGCTTTGTTCACAATAGCAAGGAGTTGGAAACAACCTAAGTGCCCATCAACAAATGAATGGATAGAGAAGAGAGAGGAAAGTGTGCAACAATGAATGAATGGAAATCCAAATCTCTGTAGATGCTCATTGAAATCAATAAAAAAATTTTTTAAAAAAAACTAAAAGAAAAAAAAAAGAATTGCTTTCTAACTGATCCTCCAGCAGATTTTCAGAGGCAGTACATTTCACTGAGAAGACTGCCCGTCCTTCTCCCTCAGAGCAGCTAGTGGATTTGAACTGTGTGCCTTTAGGATTGTAGCACACCTTAATACCACTAGGCCACTAGAGATCTCTATGATATTGAATACTACTTATGGTCAACAAAATATTCTTGGTGATCCTTTGTTAATAAATTCCTCCCCCCCACCCCAAAGGCAGACACAACTTTCTCTTTTCTTTCCCTAAACTTCTGCCAATTCAAAATGTCTTATAAATGCACCTATATAATATGTAATCCTTTATGTCTTAATTTTTCAATTTCATGTACTGCCCTTAAGATTCCCCATGTGTCAGCAGTTCATTCCTTTATTTTGTCAAGTCACATTCCAATGTACAAATGTGGCAAAAAAGCTATTTATAATCTGAGAGACATTTGGGCTAGTTCCAAATGCTTGTAGTAAATGAGCATTTGTGGTTTGCAATGTTTATCTGTGTGAGCATATGTTTCAATTATCTTTGATAAATATCTAGAAATGGGATTTCTCAGTCTCATGACTGAGTAGAGATTTACGTCTATATGTCTCAGGATAAATTTAAATTTTTAAGAGATTGACATTTTTCCAAAGTGGTTGTATCACATATCCATTCTCACTTGCTGAAATTCTTCACAAAATGTATTATGTTCTAGTTTCTACTGTTTCTTTAACTTTTTCTTTGTTCTTTTATTTTAAAATTGTGATTTGAGTGGAAGTTTACAAAACATTTTTTTCAATTCATGCGTATTTTGTTCCACAACATGAATTATAATACATACAAGGCTTAACTTTCGAATAATTCTACTTAACTTTCCAATAATTCTGCAATGTCTCTTTACCCAATGTAGTTAAGTGTTCACTGCCTATTAATTTATTTTCTAGACCCCGTAACTATAATATATTGAATTTTTTTCAGTGTGTAAATTTTTCTTTATTTTTTTATAACTGTGGTCTTATATGGTATTTGTCCTTTTGTGAATGACTTACTTCAATCAGCATAACGTTCTCTAGACTGGTATTTTTTGTAGCTTTACTTTTTTATAAAAATATTGTATTCATTTATAACCATAAAAAAAATTAACAGTTATTTAAAATATACAGTCACCATTCTCCAGATGCTCTGTGGGAGAAATATGGACAATCTCCTTACTAACACAATTATTACCGTCTGAAAACCCACTGCAGGGTCAGCTTTGAGTCATTTCTAACTCAATGTTACACAATAGCATATATAGGGTTTTCACTGTAATTTCAAGTCCTTTATATTATTAAACATGCATTTTAACTGTTTCAGACAAATTTTGGAAGTAGGTGGGCCTAACTACTGGGCGTAAACATCTTTATATATATCATATCTCTCTGCCTTCATCCTAAAGCCCTAAGAACATAGTGGAAATAAAAATGTATCTAAGATAAAGTGGGGGGGGGGTATATTAATCCTAAAAAGAGTTTAAAAGATTTAGTACATAACACAACCACACAAATTTGGGACTTTGGGACTTTCCCTCAGTTCTCCCAGCTGTAAATCAGCTGCACTGCTAATCCCAAGGCTGTACATGTCCTGCAGTTTGAATTCACCAGCAGCTCCACAGGAGACAGGTGAACAGTCTCCTGCTGCTGCTGCTTCAAACCTTGGAAACCTGATGGAGGGTCATAGTGAGTATGAACTGAATTGATGACAGTCAGTGAGAGAATGACCAGTGAGAAACTGGGTTTCTATGAAATGAGAACACATATATAAAGTTGTATGAAGGCAGCCAAACTAAATCCACCTCATGATAACGCCACAGGACAGAGTAGGACTTCCGCAAAGGGACTTACATGCTGTCAGTGTTAATGGACACAGACTATCAAATCCTTCTTCCTCCTTTCAGTGCAGCTGGGGTGGTCACACTGTCGATGTTCCAGTGAGCAACCAAATGCTCACCACTGTGCTACCAGGGCTCTTTGTGAGGATAACAACCTCCCAGTATGTATCAGGTCAGGAACTTACCTTTTACCCCTTAGTTCAACACAGGGTACCATCTCTACTGGCACAAATTATTAAATGGTTGCTATAAGCTACACAGGTATAGTACAAGTTTTTACAAATCTCTTATGAGTTAAACATCACATTTCCCCCAAAGTTAAAATCCAATAAAAAGTTAAATATAAAAAATGACTTTGTTTTAAAAAATGTGGCAGATTATCAATCATTCTGCAAATAATCCAACAAGCTGGGAAAAAAATACTTCTGGAATATTTCTGTAAACATACCTGTGAGCTGACAAGCGGATAAAAACTAAATGAAGTAGTTATTTTAAATACCTGGTATTTTTTATGATGAGAAAAGTAGCTCTGTATTAGGTGAAGTGTACATATTAACTACTATCATTAAAAAGTGAATAAGGAAAAAGATTTTATGGTAAAGAATATGACAAACTTATTGAAATCATAAAACTTTATACATAAAAAGAAAAATTAATTTTACCATATATTTTTAAAAACAAAATTTAAAAAAAAACAAGTAAGATAGCAATACTTTATTTAATACATACCAAGACTACAAGTCTGCTTCTTTCACAGACTCCAGGAAGATATGGATAGGGTGGTGATCCTTCCTCCTTCAGACAAGAACTCACCCACTCATAAATACTTGGTGGCTCAGAAGTGAAAAATGAGGGCTGGTGCATTAATCCGGTTTGATCTTTAAAACGAGAGATATGCTTATAAATATTAAAAAACATTATAAACATTAAAAAAGCATAATTTTATTCTAAAGCAAACAATACATTTGTTTGCCTATTTGCTGCCATTACAAAGCAATCAGAATAAGAACACCACCCTCCCATTTTCTCAAAAATGCTTCAGGTTTAATGCCATAATAAATAACTGGCTACATTATTTCATGTAGACTTTAAGTAACTACTCTTTTCTCCTATGCTGGAGAGAAATTAAGTAAACTCTGTCACTATGTTAACCCATCTCATTGAGAGTCGGGCCCAATGTACATTAAAAAACATGTCCAAATCTGTTTAGCCTAGCCTTAAAGATGAAAGAGGGAAAAGAGACATCTAGGATTCCACTGTAACAAGTAGGCCCTACCTCTGAGTCATTTTAACTCAGGTTTCCAGACAACACAGTTGTCAGAAAGGTTCTCTCTTGATATCTTCCAATTTGATAATTAGTAATTCCACTGAACAATTAAACTCAGGACAGTGCAATTAAGAAACAGAATTTTTAATTATAATAAAATAATCATATATTTTAACTAGGCTGGTCAGATAACTGGACAATGGCTAGGGGTGATAGAAGGAGAATTGATGCCTTTGAGCTGTGGTGCTGGAGAAGAGTTTGAATATACCATGGACTGCTAAGAGAAGGAACAAGTTCATCCTAGATAGAGTGAGACAAGGCTGCTCCTTGGAATCAAGGATTCTGAAGCTCCACCTAACATGCTTTGGGCATGCTGCAAGGAGGGATCAGTCCTTGGAAAGGGACATTTTGCTTGAAAGCCTGGAGGGACAGCACAAGAGAGGAAGACCCTTGATGAGATGGACTGACTCAGTGACTGGGGTAATGGGTGTAGGTGTGTTGAGATGATACGGTTGGCTCAAGATAGAGCAGAGTTCAGAGCTGTTGTACATAGGGTCGCAGTGAGTCACAAGTGACTTGACAGCACATAACAATAGTGAGCTGCTAAGAGAGGCTATTCCTTGGAACGAGGTATTATGCATGGAAAACTGGAGTGTGAGACAAAGAAAGGAAGACCCCCAACAAGGTAGACAGACACATTTATGACAGCAAAGAACACAAGTGTGTCATCGGTGATGAAGGATGGCTCAGGACAGGGCAGGGTTCAAGTCTTTTGTTCACAGGATCACTATGAGTCATACATGACTCAACAGCACCTAACAAATAATTACTAAGGGAGTTCTTGTGGCCTAGTAATAAAGAGTTGCACTGTCAATCCAATGGCACTAGAATGGGATTCACCACTCCACGGAAAAAGATAGGTAATCTCCGTCCATGTGTTTTTTCGTTTTTGTGTGGGTTTTTTGTTTGTGTTTTGCATTCTAACCCTATTTTATTCAACAAAATCCTTCTAGTCTACACAACAAGGTACAAACACAGCAGTACCTAACACTACAAAGTTACAAAACTCTAAACAGAAATGTTACAGCTCTGACTGCACAAGGGCAGAGGAGTGGTTGATCTGAAGACCTCCTCGGTGATAGGTGCCTAGGTGTCCCAGAGCTGGCATCTCCACTGATTTCAGAGAGGAGGAGGACAAGAAGTGCAGGGGCCAAACCATGTAGGGTAACTTCTCACATCCTTTATGGGGCAAGGGTTCCACTGCACTGTGGTGACCAAGTCACTGGAGGACACACAAACACACAAACAAGAGCAGGCCCAACAAAATCGGTGACACAAATGTGTATGGTCTATCTTGAAGAGTCTCAACCAGGTCACCAGACTATTTATGGAAGGAAAGGCTCTGCAAGTTGGGTCACAAACAATCCTGAGCACCATTGGCCCTGCTGTGGACAAACTCTGGAATTGGAAACCAGTGATGATACCTCGTCTGCAGCCAGGCTCAGAGGAACAGTCTCACCTGCTATTTAAGAAGCCTGCCCCAGGGCAAGGAAATCGCTTTCCTCTCCTCCTTTGGCTGGAAGAGTGACAGAATATGCTCGGACGGGACATAACTTATGGGGGCGAGGGACTTAGGCAGCCCAGCTTTATCAGGAGGAGCTGGAGCTGGAGTGGCTCCGGTGGTGGTGGTGGCGGCCGGCCGGGGGACCGGGAGCACCGGCGTACGGGGGACCTGCATCGAGGAGAGCGAGACCGTCTCCTCATCCTTGAGGGTGACTGTCACCACATTGGGGGGGAGGTGGCAGCATCCTCCTGGGTGGGCTGAATCATTGGGGGCGGGGCGGCCTGGGCCAGGGTGCCAGCACAGTGGTGGCAGCAATCTCCTGGCCATCAATCAGTCCCCCATCCATGTGTTTCAGTGCCTTCTCGGCCTCATCCGGATTCTCAAATTCCACCTAGGCGTAGCCTTTAGACAGGTGGGGTGCATCCTCTCCACAGGCATGTCAATCATCTTAATCTTCCCATAAGTGGAGAAGATCTCCATGGTGTGATCCCTGGTCACATTCTGGGTTAGTCTGCCAATATGCACTTTGGTAGGCTTTGGGGAAGGACGCTGCCCCTTCCATTCCTTTTCATCTCTTTTGGGTGGTTTGGATTTGGAGCAGGAGCATCGCCTGTTGTCATGTCTGCACCAGGACAGGCTTGGTGAGCCGGAGGAGCTGCTGGAGCTCCCAGAGCGGCTGGATGCTAAGGATGAGCTGGAGCCCCTGCTAGAGCCGGAGCTGGAGGTGGAGCCCGAGCTAGAGCTGCAACGAGACCTGGTGCTGCTGCTGCCACTGGACGCTCTCCGTCTCTTCCGGGTCTTATCCTGGCCACGGTCCTTCTCACCAGACTCCTTGGTGGCCTCTTGTCTTTAGAGACGTCCTTGGGCTTCTCGTCAGAGAAGTCTTTGTGCTTGGTTGGAGAAGGAGCCCTAGTGCTGGACCTTTTATTATTCTCTTCGACTCCTAGCAAGCTCTTCTTTTTCACTCCTGACAAATCCATTCTCCCCTTCCTTCTGGGATGTTCAAAGCAGCAATGGCGGCCTCACTGATTTGAACTTCTAACTTGACTCTGAGAAACGATCCCTAATAGATTGCAATTTACGCCAAAGAGAAGCATCTTCCCACTGAAGCCGTCACCTCTTGCTCTCCTCAGCCGCCCACTCGTCCTATAGCCTCTGAAAACAAACTCTAAGGTGAGCTGAGTCAGTTCTGACTCAGTGGTACATCATAAACAGTGACTGTTACTTGAATAGCTCTGAAAGTTTTCATTTAGTTTTTTTATGTCCAAAATCTGTGTTGCTGTTGTTATCTGCTGTTGAGCCAGCTATGAATCACAGTGACCCTATGAACAACAGATCTAAATGGTGCCCTGTCTGTACCATCCTCACAATCACTGACACACTTAAACATAGGGTTACTGAAGAGTACTGGTTCTGCTGCCAAAAATCTGGCTTCCCTAGACCATTATATGTAATGTGATCCAGCTGCCTCAACTCGTCTTGCCCTGAAAATGCCTAGCCTACTTACAACATCAATAGCTGTGTGAGCCATTTCTTCCTCATGCAAATGTGTCTTGCTCTATCCACAAGGGGACTGGCTAGTCTCTCCATTAAATTAAATAGATCTAGTGGTAGAAAATGGGGGCCTCACCACAAGGAACGAGGAAGCAGAGAGTGCATCATGCATTCTTTATAACCAGATTCCTTCACCAAGGATTCTATCCTGCTGTAACAGAGAAGCTGTCTGGCCTAAGGGATTATATTTGCTGTTAACGGAAAAGCTCTCCAAATTGAGGGATTGTATTTGCTGCTAACTGAGAAGTTCTTTGGACTGAAACATTACATTTGCTATTGAGAAGCTCTCAGAATTCAGGGATTGCATTTGCTATTAATTAAGAAGTTCTTCAACAAAAAGATGTAGCGCTGGATATGCTCACCAGGTTGCATCAAGTAATCTAAAAGACAGCTACCTGGCCAACTGACTGGAAGTGAAACATATTTACTCCTAACCCCATAAAAGGTGATCGAACAGAGTGTGAAATTATCAAACAGTATCACATGCAAGCAAAATTCTGCTGAAGATTATCCAAAATTGACTAGAACAGAATGTTAACAGAGAAATACAAGCTCAATTTAGAAAAAGGCCATGGCACTAGGCATATCACCATCAATATCAGATGCATCTTGGCTGAAAGCAGAGAGTACCAGAAGGATGATTACTTATTTTTTTATTGACTATGCAAAGGCATCTGACTGTGTGGATCATAACAAACTCTGGCAAACGTTGAGAAGAATGAGAATCCCATTGTGCTCATGTGAAACATGAACACAGCAAGTATGAACAGAGCAAGGAAATACTGCATGGTTCAAAATCAAGAAAGGAATATGTGAAGGGTTGATCCTTTCCCCTTATCTTTTCAATCTATATGCAGAACTGGAAGCTTTAAGATGAAGAACGTGGTATTAGTATTGGAGGAAGACTTATAAACAACCTACATTATGTAGATGACACAACCTTGTTTACTGAAAGAAAGGAAGACTTGAAGCACTTGCTGCAGAAGATAAAGAACTGCAGTCTTAAAAATGGATTGATTGCATCTCAACATCAAGAAGACAAAAGATTCTCACCACTGGGTCAGTCAATCGGCAGCATCATGATGGATGGAGAAAAGATTGAGGTTGTTAACAATTTCATCTAACTTGTATCCACAATCAACAGTATTGGCACCAACAGTCAGGAGATCAAAAGGTGAGTTGCTTTAGGAAAATCTGCTGTCAGGGACCTCTCCAGAATGGTCAAGAAAAACACTGTTGGTCTAGAGACTAAGGTATGCCTGATTCAGGCCATGATCTTCTCAACTGCTTGTTTTGCATTTGAGAGCTGGAGAATAACTAAGGATGACAGAAAAAAAGAATGGATGTCTTTGAATTCTGGTGCCAGAGAGGAGAATTGAACATCCATGAACTGCCAGCAGAATAAACAAGTCTGTCCGATAGAGGGTGAAACCAGATTGTTCCTTGGAGGCAAGGACTTTGAAGCTCTGTCTCACATTCTTTGGGCATGTTTGCAGGACGGACCAATCCTTGGAGAAGTACATCATGCTTACAAGGATTGAGGGTCTGCACAGGTGACCTGGATGAGATGACTTGACACAGGGACTATGACAATGGGAGCAAGTGTGTCAGAGATAAGTGAGACTGGTTCAGCATAAGGCAGTTTTAGGGATACTGTTCATAGGGTCACTAAAAGTCATGGTCTACATGACAGCACATAAGAACAACAACAACATTCATCAGGGCACAGACACATGGAAAAGAATTCTCATACTGGACCAATAGAGATGATCATGATAGAGAAATGACTGAAGATGTCAATTATTTAGTTTTACTTATATCTATAATCAACACCCATGGTAAGAGCAGCCAAGGATTCAAAAGACAGCATTAGGAAAATCTGTAGTCAAGAACTCATCTAGGGTGCCAAAGAGCAAAGATGTCAAGTTAAAGACTAAGGTGTGCCTGTTACAAGCTATATTATTATAAACTGTTTCCTACACATTTGAAAGTTGGCCAGTGGATAAGGACAACAGAGCAACTGATACCTTTGAAAGGTGGTGTTACTACTAGAAATATACCCTAAAGAAAACAGCGCTGACACCCAAACTGATATACGTACACTATGTTTATTAATGCATTATTCACAATAGCAAGAAGATGGAAGCAACCCAAATGCCCATCAACAAATAAATGGATAGAAAAACTATGATATATTCACACAATAGAATACTATGCAGCACGAAAAATGAGGAACTCATATACAACATGGGTGACCCTGGAGGACAATAGGCTGAGTGAAATATCTCAGTCACAAATGGACAAATACTGCATAATGCCACTGTTATAAAACAGGACTGACACGGGGGTTGGGGAAAACTATAGGGATAAATAATGAACACTGCATTGGAACAGATGAAGAAAAGGACTGTTTAAAAGGAATATATGATTATTTGCATGACAGCAGTCCACAATAAGAGGTGCCTAGCAAAGTGGTCTAAGGTGGCATGGAGCAAATCATGCAACAATGAAATTTAAAAAAATTGGAGGGATAAAGAAGAAAATATGCAACAATGAGTGAATGAAAATCCAACTTTTCTGTAAACTTTAATCAAAATCACAATTAAAAAAAGATAAAAAAGGAGAGAGAAGTTCTCTGTACTGAAGAATTATATTTCCTATTAACACAGAAGGTTTTTGGACCAAGGGATTATATTCGGTATTAATTGAGAAGCTCTCTAAACTGAGTGATTATATCTGCTGTTAACTGAGAAGTTCCTTGTACTAAGGGATTGTATTTCCTGTTAACTGAGAAACTCTCTGTACTGAAGAAACTCTCTGTATTTTTGCTATTAGCCTGAATTACAGCTTGTTAACTTAATAATAAATCCCACAACCATGAGTATGGTTCTGTGAAGCTGTGTGCTTACTGCAGTGAATTTTAGGTCCAGTAAATGGTTACTGGAGCATGGGAAGACATATCCCATGTTTTGTGCTGTGGATGCTGTTGATGGGTATAGATCTCCCTTGTGGAGGTAGCAGAGGTCAGACTTGGCCATCTCCACGCTGCCCTCATTCTAAGTTCAGTTACTACAAGTACTACTGTTATAATCACCATGTCAATCTATCTCACTGAAGATCAGAGTGATAGATTAAACTCTCTCTATACACTAAAGAGACTAGCTTACTAAGTTAGAGTTCAAGCAGTAGAAATAAAAATATGCCTGGTGGACAAAAACCATTATCCTGGCATAGAGGAAATAGTAAGAAATAGTAATTGGGAAAGGTATAAGCAAGTACCATTCCCCTCCTGAGAAAATCTGTAATGGCACAGATGCTTACCTTGTACCACTGCGCACACCTGAACACTGGTTCTGACAAGGGTTGGGAAGTCTCTAAAGTAATGATCCACATAAGGCCCCAATTTTAAATCCCTAAAACAATAAGCACATATAGAAAAGAATTAACAAGGAAGATGGTGTCATATCATTATCTCATTCCTCATAGTTTCAAGTCATCCAACTTTAATTTGAAAAATCTACTCATGAGAAAGAAATTAACCAAATTTACAGTTTTTATCTATTTCTGGACTTCAAAGTACCCAATATGATAGATGCAACCTAATTCTGTGGTGGTGACATTAAAGCAAAACCCTGGGGTCTTGTTCCTCCATTGTCACTTACTGTGTCATATTCAGAATGTCATCTCAACCACACAGAGATGGGCGATGTAGTGGAGGAAGTGGAGCAACTTCCATTAACTCACTCTGAAGCTTTTAAATAATAAATGTGAAAACAACCCACCTGATAAAAGGTAAACATCATGTAAATGTAATTTATTATAGAGAGCCATAATTAGGGGTTGAAAATTATGTACAAAGGATTTTATGATAATCTGCCATAAAACTGACCAAAACTTCCCAGAGGTACGTGGTGTGAATCCACTAGATTCTCTGCTGGAGAAGGAGGGGCAATCTGATTTGACGGTACACACACACAAAATAATAAAATTAAAAAACAAACAAAAAACCTGACCAAAATTTAAACAACAAAAAGCTCGGAAAAAAGCCTTCAATTTCTCAGGGAAGATCACTTAAGTCAGAATATGTGCTGTCACCTTTAGTAGATGTTTAACTTTCAATTCAAATTCAACTTTCTTTATTCCCAAAGTTTCAAACAGCATCTAGATGTGACCCTTAGAATTCTGTATCACAAGAAATTCAACACTACAAAGGTACTAAAATGACTCATAGAACATATTAGTAGAGCAGTGTAACTGTGGATCCATTCCGAGTGTCAGAAAGATAGGAAACACCAAATATTATTACAACATTGAAACAAAGAAAAAAGGCCCCATAACAATCAACACTGATGTTCTCTGCTGCTGTTGTCCTCTCACTGACTCACCTAGGAATGAAGTTGGGCAAGCTCCCGATTGTTATAAGGATCACAATACCTCTTTGACAATTTATATGTAAGCTAAGATTGTATTAACTGTAAAGTATGAGGCGAAGATATTATTACAAAACAGAAGATGCTATTTTAGAACTTCCACCACTGCATCTCAACAAAATGAAAATAAGAGAACATAGCCTTACTTAATGCACTTTTGTGACTGATTCATCGTAGTTCAAAGACAAAAATTCAACCATGGTCCACAAGGATCTTCCTTAACTAATTATCTTTAAACAATTCCACAGTTTAAAGAAAATGCTGTTTTTATAAGAAGGTAGATTTCAGAAATTTATTTCTAAACTTATTCTGTTGTTGTGTACCATCAAGTCAGAATTAACCCACAGCTGATCCTCCACTGGGTTTTCAGAGGCAGTAATAAACAATCCCATACTTTAAAGAAAATGCTATTTTTATAAGAAGGTAGATTTCAGAAATTTATTTCTAAAGTTACTCTGCTCTGTTGTGTACCATCAAGTTGGAACCAACCCATAGCTCACCCTCCAGCAGGTTTTCAGAGGCAGTAATAAATAATTCCCGAGTTTAAAGAAAATGCTGTTTTCATAAGGTAGATTTCAGAAATTTATTTCTAAAGATACTCTTGTGTACCATCGAGATGGAACCCATAGCTGATCCTCCCGTAGATTATCAGAGGCAGTAATCACCTGGGAGAAGACTGCCTAACCTCCTCTTGAGGAGCAGCTGGCAGAATTGAACTGCATGCCTTTGGGATTTCCGTGTAGATTCTTACCACTAGGCCACCAGAGCTCCCTACATAATATCAACTTACTGAAGGCTACCGAGGTGGTTTTAAATCTTACAAATAATATTTACCTTGCCAGCTGAATAAGAAGGTCAACAAGTGAACGAATTCCTTCTCCCATCAGAGTATTCAGCTTAAGTTCTTCATAGACAAGATGAAGAACAAAAAAAATTGCAGGGATATGTGTGAAGAGAAGTGTAGAAGAATCCAGACTTAGGTTCTGTGAAAATTCCTCATCTTTTGTCTGTGAAATTTCCAAAGAACTCAAACATAAAGATCTAGTCAGAAGATGAGACTCAACATTAAGATGGTAGTCTGAATTCAGTAAATATTCCCAGTCCTAAGAAAAATAAAAAGAGTGGAAACTTTTTCAACAATCCCTCCTTGAAAGGTCATAATTATAAGAAAATTCAACTACTTAATCGTAAGAAATTAGAAATTACATAGGACAAAATCAAGTTACTTAAAACAATTCAAGCTCCAGATTTGTGTCAAGTTTATCTTAATGAACAAAGCTGCTGTAACTATCAACTGCAATGAAACTGCTAAGTGCTAGGACTGGACAGGAATGCTTTGTGTTTTCAAGGTGCTCAAGTCTTCCAGCTTTGGCAGAGCAGAATCATATACATTTTTCTACAATTAGTGGCAAAAATGTGTATTTCTTTTGAGAGGTTGATACCTTATATAAATTCTGACTTGCACAGATTTTACAATTTAAAACAGTTAAGCAATTTAACTAAATAAAATAATAAACACTAAAACTAGCTATTTTAAAAAAGAAAGAGGGAAAACCAATGCCTGGTCACTTTTTTCTCCGTAAAAAAGATTCGGGGAGAAATTCTACCATTTAGGTAAGAACAGAGAAGAAAAAAAATATATACCAAGATTTGTTATATGAAGTCAAAAATAATGAATGAAACGTGTACAGTGCATATATAAACAAGTTTGTTCTTCCTGTTAAGTGTCATTGGGTCAACTATGACTCACAACAGCCCTATGAACACGGATCGGAATGTTATCCTAACCTGTACCCTCCTCACCAGCTCCAACATGTCCAAACACACTGTTACAATCACTGTGTGAATCCATCTGTTGAGGGTCTTCTCTTCATCTCATCTTCTCCCTTCTCCAATATGATGTCTTTTTCCAAGTAAAGGTCTCTCCTGACAACAAGCTCAAACTGGATGAAACAAAGTTTCACTATCCTTACCTCTATGGAGCACTTTGGTTTGCACTTCTTCCGAGAAAAGTTTGTTTGTTCTTTGGACAGTTCATGGGATATTCAGTATTCTTCTCCAACATCTTAATTCAAAGATTCTTCTGTGATCCTTATTCATGGCTCAATTTTCAGACTGATAGAAAAGATCATGACTTACATCTGGCACACCTTACTCTTTAAATTAGCATCATCATTCTTTAGCACTTTGGAGAGGTCCTTAATAGCATATTGTCCCAATGCAACACTTTACATTTTTAAATTTCTTGATTTCTGTTACCATGGGGTTGTGTCTTCAAGTAAAACAAATCAGTATGACAACTTCATTCTTTAGTGATGTTGCCTATTGTCCCAGTGGTGAGGATTTTTGTTTTCTTGATGTTGAGATGTAATCCATATTGAAGGCTTTAATCTTTGATCTTCTGTAGCAAGTGCTTCAAGACTTCTTCAATTTCTATGAGGTTGAGTTACCTACTGGTTATTGATGAATCTTCCACCAATCCTGATTTCATATTCTTTTTCTAGTTCAGTTTCTCGAGTTGTCTGCTCAGCAGAGATTGGATAGGTCCGAAGAAAGGATACAACACCTGAGGCACATCCTTCCTGATTTTAAACCATGTAGTATTTCCCTTGTTTTGTTCAGAAAATTGCTTCTTTATCTATACATAAGTTCCACATGAGCACAAGCAGGTGTTTCAGGATTCCTATTCTTCTCAGTGTAGTTATGATCTACGCAGTCCTTTGTATAATTAAGAAAACAAACAAACATCTTTCTGGAATTCTCTTTCAATCAAGATCCATCTGAAATCAGCAATCACACCTAGTTCCCAAGCTCTTCTGAACCCACTTAAAATGTCTGGAAGTTCCCTGTTGTATACATTGGATTTTTTGAACTGTCTTCACAAAGAATTGAGACATTAATTATATTATTCAGTTATTTCCACATTCTGTTAGATCACCTTTTTTGGAATAGGAACAAGAAAAAATTCATTCCAGTCATGTAGTCTTCCAAATTTCTTAGGTTAGTGAGCCATGTCCAGGGCTACACGTTTGCTGAACACGTTAATTGGTATTCCATCAATCCCTGGAGCCTTTTTTGCCAATGACTTTAGTGGAAATTCTTCCTTCATAATCTGGTTCCTGATATGATACTTTCTAAAATTGTTCAGTGTCTAATCAATTGTTTTTGGCACAATGATTGCGTATTCTTTCTATCTTCTTATGGTGCTTCATGTATCATTCAAGATTTTGCCCAAAGAATCCTTGAGTATTGCAATTCAAGATGTATATTCCATTATAATATCATGCAGTATCTTCTCAAGCTGGCTTTGAATTCCTTTTTTTTTTTTTTTTACTTCAGAATGTTTTCCCTTTTGCTTTGGCCTCTGCAAATTTACTGCAATTTCCAGAATATCTTTTTAATATCTTTTTTTTCTCCCCTGCCTTTGTAATGACCTTTTTTCTTTCTTCGTGGATGATATTCTTGATGTCATCCCACATTTCAACGGTCTTGCTTCAGTCATCAGTGTTAAATGCAACAAATCTATTATTGAGACAGTTTTATAAATTCAGATAGGACAGACTGAAGGTCATATTTTGAGCTTACACATGAGTAACTGATGGTCTATTTCACAGTCAGACCCTGGTCTTGTTTTGACTGCTGCTATTGAGATTCTCATCAATTCTTTCCACAGAAGAAGTCAACCTGATTCCTATGTAGTTCTTAAGATGAGAGCCATCTGTATAGACAATGTTTATGTTTTTAAAAAGGGATTTGCAATGAATAAATTGTTCCTTGTACAAAATCTATTATTCAATCTGCCCCATTTCTGTCATCAAGGTCATGTTTTCCAAATACCAGGCCTCTCCCTTTGTTTAAAGATTTTGCATGTCAGTCATCAATTATTATTAAAGCACCTTGGCTGCATGTGATCAATTTCAGACCGCAAAAGTTGGTGGTTGGTATTGTGTACCATTTGAGTCAGAACCAACTAATGGTTGACCCTACAGTGGGTTTTCAGAAGCAGTTTAATTGCACAGGAAGAGTCTTCCCATTTTTCTCCTGTGGAGCAGCTGGTGAATTTGAACTGTCTTTGAAACTGCAGCACATCTTCTTACCACTAAGCCACCAAAGCTCCCTGGTTAGGAAAAGTCTCCAATTTCTTCATCTTTGGGCTGAATTATGCATTGTTGTGAGGTGCCATCGAGAGGAGTACAACTCATGGCAATCCTATGAACAACAGATCTGAACCCTACTCTATCCTGTATCAACTTCATGCTTTGTGACACTCTAGAGTTCATTGTGGCAGTCACTATGTCAATCCACCTGGTCAAGGGTTTTTCTCTCCCTTGTCAACCCTTGCAAGCATCATGTCCCTCTCCAAGAATCAGCCCTTCCAAGTAACATGTCCAAAGAATGTGAGGTGAAGGCTCATCATTCTTGCCTCCAAAGATCACTCCAGCTTCATTGTCTCCACAAAATAGGTTTGCTCTTTTGGCAGTCCATGGGATGTTCATTGCTCTTCTCCAACACCACAATTCAAAGGTATCGATTCTTCTACTGTCACCATTATTCAAAGTCCACCTCTCAGATGCAGAGCAAATAATCAGAAAGCCCATGGCCTGAATCAGATGCACCTTAGTCCTCAAACTGACACCACTGCTCTCAGATAATTCAGAGAGTTCCTAACTAGACTTTCCAAGTGCAACACATCTCCTTATTTCCTGACTGCTGGTACCAAGAGTGTTAATTATAAATCAAAGTAAGATGAAGCTGTTGGCAGTTTCAATCTCTTCTCTATCCATCATGTTGTTGCCTATCAGTCCAGTGGTAAGAATCTGTTTCTTGACATTGAGATGCAATCCATACCAAAGGCTGCATTCCTTGATGTTCTGCAACAAGTGGTTCTGCAGGTTCTGCAACATTCCTCACTTTCAGCAAGGAAGGTTGTGTCATCTGCATAACACAGGTTATTGAGGAATCCTGATGCCACATCCTTCTTCATAAGAGTCTAGCTTCTCAAATAATTTGCTCAACATACAGACTGAATAGGTACATACAACACTGACACACTCCTTAATTTTCAACCATGCATTGTCTGCCTACTCTATTCACAAAACAGTCTCCTGGTCGAGGCACAGGTTTCATATGAGCAAAATTAAGTCCTCTGGGACTCCCAGTCCTCTCAATGTCATCCACAACTTGTTATGATCCACACAGCCAAATCCCTTTGTGTAGTCAATAAAGCACACAAAAACATTCTTCTGGCATTCTTTATTTTCAGCCAGGATCCATCTGACATCTGCAGTGATATCCCTGGTACAACAATCTGACAGCAGAATTTCCCAATGCAATTTGTCTTTTGATTTCCTGGTTGCTGTTACCAAAAGTCTTGATTGTGGAGCCAAGCAAACTGAAGCAATTAACAACATGATGCTGTGTTTCAGCCCAGTGGTGAGAATCTTTGTTTTCTTGATGTTGAGCTTCAATCCATATTGCAGGCTGTAGTCCTTGACCTTCTGCACCAAATGCCTATTATCCATACCATCTTTCAATATAGTGACTTGAAGTTTACATCTGTTCTTCAGTTTTCTCAGCTTGAGAAAGGCAAAGAAAGTTCTTCCCTTTTTATTCTCTAATTCCAGCTCTCTGCACAATCCATTTTCTTTGTCCTCTCAAGCAGCCCTTTGAAATCTTCTGATTACCTCTTTTACTTTGGCATGTTTGTTCTAAGTGATACAGCACTTGTCTGTAAGTTTGCTGCACTGAGATAAACAGGGGTTACGATACTAAATTCCATTTTCAAATGCCATAAGGGTTACCCATGATGGACAGGTTTTAGTAGAGCTCCCAGGTTAAGACAGACTAGGAAATTGGACTGGCCATTCACCTCTAAAATAATGGGCCTTTGAAAACTCTATGAATACTACAAGAAGGAGGATAGTTCTGTAGTACAGTGGCAGAGCCCAGATTAGAAGTCAGCTGAAATGAGGAAAAACAATAACAAACATCTTTTAATAACTGGAACATGAAATGTATGCTGTTTAAAAGTTGGAAAATTGGAAATTGTTAAAAACAAAATGGACCATATAAACATCAACAAACTAGGAATTACTGAGATGGGATAGACCACCTTTGGCCACTTTGAATGAGATAATCATATGGTATACTTTGCAGGGTATGCAAAACAGAAGAATTATGTTGCATTCATAGTAAAAAAGTCAATTTCAAGGCCTATCCTGAAATACAATATTGTGATAGGATAATATCCATACTCATGCAAGAAAGACTCTTAACATGAATATTATTCAAACATACACTTCTACACGTAGCGCCAAAGAGGAAGAAATTGAGAATTTTTAACAAATCTTGCAGGTCAAAATTAACCAAACATGCAATCAAGATGTGTTAATGATAACTGGTGACTAGAATGCAAAAGCTGGAAAGTGTAAGGAACTGTAGTTAGAAATATGGAATTATTGACAGAAATGAGGCTGAAAGTAGAATGAGCAAACTTTGTATCTTCAATTATTTATTCATTGAAAAATACCTTTCTAAAAAGACACAATGTTTTACACATGGATCTCACCTGATGGGCTGCACAGGAATCAGATTGACTATATTTGTGGAAGAAATCATTAGAGAAGCTCAATATCAGAAGTCAAAGGTAGGCCAGGGGTGAACTATGGGCCAGACCATCAATTATTCATATGAAAGTTCAAAGTGAGGCTGAAGAAAATTAAAGTAAGTACACAGGAATCAAGATATGATCTTGAACCAATTCCATCGGAATTGATTCAAGATCATCTTAGTAATAGGTTTGAGGAACTGAACACCAGTGATTAAAGACTGGATGAGTTGTGGGATAATATCAAGGATATCATCCATAGGAAAGCAAAAGATCATTACAAAAATGGAGGAGCAATAAAAAAACCAAAATAAGTATCATAAACGACTGTAAAAGTTGCACTGGAGCATAAATAAATCAAAACAAAGGGAAAACATGCTGAAGCAAAGCTTGAGAGGACAAAGAAAAGTTGATGTACTCGCTATATTAAAAGGTCCTCCTGTATGCAGGTTCAGTGACGACCGAACTGATCTGTGTATTGGTAAGAACACGTCCAAACAGGCATTCAATCCTTAGAATAACCAACCTTAAAAGGTCAAAAGAGCTTCATCTGCCTCCCAAAAAGAGCCCAAGAGGCAAGTCAAGGTAAGACAGGTTAACAGGGAAGAAATAAGAAAAGTGTAATTATATTATGATTTAACATTATTATGATGATTAAATGGAAAATCAATTAACTTTATAATTTTTTACTGCAAAAAAATAGTCTATTATGTTCAGTTAGCATACCTATCTTGCTGTTTTTAGAAAATGTTGAGTCAGCAGTATTAATAATCACCTGAATTGTACAGAGGCTGATTATGCTGTTGTTTCTAAGTACTGAATATGTTTTAGTTTTTACTTATAGCTTATTTCCTTATGTTTAGAATAGGCTTATGTCATGTTCTAGATTTTGAATTTGTGTGTGTGTGTGTGTGCATGTGCTACTCTAACTCATAAACTCCTGGATGGATATAGGAAAACAATAGCCATATATTAAAAAGTGGACTGCCAGGAAAACAAACAGATTCATCTTGGAGAGGATTAAACCAAGCTACTCCTTGGAGGCAAGGATTCTGGGGCTTCGTCTGACATACTTTGGACATGTTGCCAGGAGGGACGGGTCCTTGGAGAGGGACATCATGCTTGGGAGGGTGGAGGGAGAGCGCAGGAGGGGAAGACCCTCTATGAGATGGATTGATTTGGTGACTGGGGTAATCGGGATGGGTGTGTCAGAGGCGGTGCGGTTGGCGCAGGATAGAGCAGGGTTTAGGGCTGTTGTGCATAGGGTCGCTATGAGTCGCAAACGACTCGACGGCACATAACAACAACAACAACAAACTAGGAAATAATAAAAAAACCAAACCCATAAAAACTTATGCTGAGTGCAATATCTCAGTCACAAAAAGACAAAAATGGCATAATGCCACAGTTATAAAAGAGGACTGACATGATTAGGTATTACTGATATGACAGGAGTCCAGAATGAAGGTAGCATAATGGAGTGGACGGACTGAATAACAATGCAATAATTTTTCTTTTACTTTTCAAAGAGAAGAGTGTATTTGGGGGCAGGGAGTGATGGGCAGGGAGAAAAGTGCAACAATGAATAAATGGAAATCCAAAGTCTCTGTAAACTTTCATGAAAATAAATTTAAATTAAAAAAACCCTTACATTTTTCAAAAGTAAGGAGATTTGATGCCATTGACCTGTGGTGCTGGACAAGAGTATTGAGAGTACCATGGACTGCTAGGAAAACAAACAGATTCACCCTGGAAAAGGTTAAACCGGGTGGCTCCTTGGAGGCAAGAATTCTGAGGCTCCGTCTAACATACTTTGGACATGTTGTAAAGAGAGACCGGTCCTTGGAGAAGGACATCATGCTTGGGAGGGTGGAGGGACAGCACAGGAGGGGCCCTCTATGAGGTGGATTGATTCAGTGACTGGGATAATCGGGATGAGAGTGTCAGACAGTGCGAATGGTACAGGACAGAGCAGAATTTAGGGTTGTTGTACATAGGGTCGCTATGAGTCGCAAGTGACTCGATGGCACATAACAACTGTTAAGCCACATTCTGAAAGAAAATATTCATAATGTACACATATGACAAAGAACTCACATCAATAACATATGAAGATTTTTTTATTGCTCAATAATGGTGCTGCTGGTTTTGTTTTGAATAATGATTTCTTTAAATCCAATTAGAAAGGCTTGTATTTAAAAAAATATACATAAGATAAGCATATGCAAAAATGCCATCAGTTATCAAGGAAAGGAAAATTAAAAAAGAAAAGAAACCCAAGAGTCCAGTGACTCGGTAATTAAAGCATGTGGCAACTGACCTAAATGCTAGTAGTTCAAGCTCACAATGCACTATGCAGGAGGAAGAAGTGGTATTCTGCTCCCACAAAATTTACAGTTGCAAAACTGTGTGGGGCAGTTCCACATTGTCCTATAGGGTCACCAAGAGTCAGATTCAATGCAACAGTGCTTTCTTCCATAAGAGAAACTACTTTACACACACTAAATGAAGAATTTGAAAATAAAAGTTGGCAAAGATACTGAACAAAAAGAATGTTGCATATATTACTTGTCAGAGTAGTATTACCTATATGGGACCATGAGTCTTTATCAGCAATGGCTCAATAATTTCACTGCAATTATTAGAAAAAATGAAAATGCAAGTCCACAAAGACTTATAAAAGAAGGGTGATACTAGCTTTATTCATAAAAGTTAGAGAAACTAAACTATGTTATAATCATACAGGCTCAGCAATAAAAAGGAATAAACTGCAGCAACTCAGAGAAATCTAAAAATCATTCTGTTGGGTAAGAGAAAATGTGTACCAAAGATTATATATATATTGTATCATTTAATTTATATAAGGTTTTAGAACAGGAAAAATTCTAACACATAAAGAAATATGTATTAGAAATGTTACTACTTCTTGTAAACAGCACAAGACTGATCAAAAATAGAAACAAAAATATTTGAGGGGTTAGAAATGTTCTGTATCTCAAAAGGGGTGTGAATTCCATAAGAACCTATTTTTCAAAATTGCTTAAACTGTATAAACTTAAGATCTAAGCATCTCACTTTAGACAAACTTTTCTATCTTAATTTTAAAGAAAACAAAACCAAAAAGGATGGGGGGTGAGGAGCTCCTTTATATATACCATGGAATATTTCCATACATTTTAGAACCTAAACTGAAGAAACACGGCATTAAAAAGTAAACACACTGTAAGTCATCAATAGGCAACACAACACATATAAACCCAAACTGAATCATGCAGCAATACTTATTTGTAAGCTTGTCAGTCCAGAGATTGAAAGCTATGTTTATAGTTCTTTTAGACAATCACTGGAAACAATGAGAAAACAAAGCACAGCTCTTCCAAGTAATTGTTATTAACTATTTAAAGGAATAAAACAAATATGTTGGAAATATAAAAATCAATCAATATAAATACTATAAAAGTGAAAGACTAATACAAGTATCCACAAATTAATTTAAGTAGAAAAAAGAATAATCGTACTTACATCATCAGATCCAGTCTCAGAAGGTCTTGCTTTCTTGGGTGCTATAACTGGAGAAAGTGATCCTTCAAAGTCAAACTGGAAAATAATCCCAAAAAGGAAGATAAAAATGAAAAAGTTATCACTGTCAACTGGTCAATGTAAAGGGCCCAGAAACCAATCCCACAAACTATATACTCTGAGAGAAGCCTTGAAAACTCTTTTTCATTTGGAAAATAATACTCAAATATTTTTCTTTAGGACTGTTGTAAAGATTACAAAGTACTGTTGTAAAGATTACAAAAGCAGTATATATAAAGGGCCTGGTACAGTGCTTGAGCATAAAGGTACTAGAATGGGAGCTTCCTTTCTTCTCTTACTTCTGTGATGTTTATCGCATCTTTACAAAAGAAGATGAAAGAAAACTTGGTGCATATGAATTACAGTGCTGGTGAAGAATTCTTAAAGTATCATAGACTGCCAGAAGAACAAACACATTTGTATTATCAGAAGTAAAGCCAGAATGCTCCTAAGAAGGAGCGATGCCAATAGCTTGTTTCAAGTGCCCTGGGCGCTGTTATCAGGAGGGATTAGCCCATGGAAAAGGGTATCATGTTATCAAAGTAGAAGGTCAGCCAAAAGAAGATCCTCGACAATATGGATGACACACTGGCTACCATAATAAGCTTTATCACAGAAATTATTAAGAATGAGGTAGGGCCAGACAGAGTTTTATTCTGTTCTACCTAGGGTCAATATTACTCAAACATATTGAACAGCACTTAGCAACACACCAAATCCCAAAGGATCATTTCAAAGTGTGCCAAATGTTAAAACCAAATATATGTTTATTTAACATCTGTCTAAAGCACATCGTCTAACAATTATGACATAGGGAGCTAATTACCAAAATATCTGTTCTCTACTTTCTTCCATATAGATGATATAACCCTTCATTCACCAGTGATCCTGGCCAGCACGGTGACAGTGTGAATATGAATGAAAATGGCTGTTATCATTTTTAGACCATGATAAATACCGCCAACACATGCATTTCCAGGCTCATTTTTTCTTCCATTTTAGAATGAAGTCAACTCCAAGATAATATTGGAAGTCTTGAGGTGAAAATGGAAGACCTTTCATCATCATGAGCAACTACATGATCGGTTTATGTACTAAGTACTATTAGGAAAGCAAATAGTACAGTTATATTGTGTTTCTGCCACTCTTATTTTTTGGTGTCCATCTGTTCTAATAGTTAAGGAAGGTATCCCATGAATAAGGATGACAGAAAAAGAAATGATGCCTTTGAACTGTGGTGCTGGAGAAGAGTACTGAATATCCCATGGACTACCAAAAGAACAGATATATCTTGGGACAAGTGTAGCCACAATGCTCCTTTGAAACAAGGATGGCAAAGATTCATCTCATATACTTTCTGTATATTGCTAGGAGCAGTTGTTCCTAGGAAAAGGACACCATGCTTGGAAAAGTGGAGGGTCTGTGAAGGAGAGGAAAACTTTCAGCAAGATGGACTTAAATGGTGATTACAGCAATAGGTTCAAGTGTGTCAGAACTGATCAAGAAAGGCATAGGATAATAGGATAGGGTCACAGGATCACTACAAGTTGTATTCAAGTAAAACATAACATAAACTACCAATAACCCATATAAGTTTTGAAGCCCTGCTACTTCACAATCAACTTTGTTGTTAATTGTCATTGGGTCAATTTTGACTCATGCTAATCCTATGTATACAAGGCACCCAGTCCTTTGTCATTCTAACTGCTGATAATATTTGAGTTCTCTGTTACATCTACTGTGTCAATTATTTTTTGTTTTGGTTGTGTACCGTCGAATCCAATCTAATTGGCACAGAAGGAGATTGTTCCTACTTCTCCAGCGGAGCACCTAGTGTAGTCAAACCGTGTGCCTTGAGGATTGCTGTACAGGTAGGCCACCAGAGCTCCCCTAGGTGTCAATCCATCTTACTGATGGTTTCCTTCATTTCTGCTACTAACATAATGAACTTTTATACCTGTTGGTCTTTCCGATGATGTAAGCGTAAGTGAATCAACTAATCATAATTCTAAGTAGCAATGACTTGTCCAATGCTGCCACCATCAATCAGCCTTATTCATTAGAAGGAAAACTGATTTCTGTTCAACAATAAGTTCACACAAATGGCAATATGGTAACTTTTTTTTTCTAATAATTTTAATGAACATTTACAGAGAATTTGGATTTCCATTCATACATTGCTGCACTTCTCTACCCGCCCAGCCCTCTCCCCCCGCCCCCCCAGTTCGCTCCTCTCTTTCAAAAGTAAAAGAGAGACTCCCTCCCTAGTACACAATCCCCCTGCACCCCTCCCACCGCCCCAAGTACATTCCACTATGCAACCTTAATTGTGGACTCTTGTGATAACTATAATACCCAATCATACATTGCTTTTAAATTATTCAGTCCCTCATCTGTTTCAGTGCAGTATACACAATTTATCCAGTTTTTCTCAGTCTTACCCCCACCCTGATATCAGTCCCATTTTACAGCAGTGGCACCATGCAATATTTGTCCTTTTGCGACTGAGATTTCACTCAGCATAATGTCCTCCAGGCTCACCCATTTAGAATAATATTGAATGAGTTCCTTGTTTTTCAATGCAGCATAGTAGTCCATTGTGTGAATATACCACAGCTTCTCTATCCATTCGTTTGTTGATGGGCACCTGGGTTGTTTCCAACTCCGCTATTGTGAACAGAGCTGCGATAAACATGGGTGTGCATATATCTGCTTGGATGTCAGTTATGGTCTCTTTGGGATATATTCCCAGTAGTGGAATTGCTGGGTCAAATGGTTTCTCTATTTGCAACGCAATATGGTAACTTTAAAAAACAAGTATTATTAAGAGAAAAGGTTTTCTTGTGAATTATCAAGTGAACACAGCCACTTCATAGACACTATCAAAACTTGCAATGACAGAATGAAGTTAACAGAATAAAATTGTTACACTGCTAAAATGTGACTAAATCCTAATATACTCATGAACACTTCTATATACATCCAAAAATTTTAGTTTCAGTCAGAAGAAAAATGTCCCTGACAAAATTACCAGAATCAGCGATCGAGTTTGCGTGTTCACTCACTGCTGTTAAGTGGGAAATAAGTAATAGCTGACCTCTCGACCTTCCCGTATGTTTTCATAGGCTATCAATTGCCTGGGAGGAAACTGTCCATCCTTTTACAAAGCAGATGGTGGATCTGAAACACTCACCATTGGATTGGTAGCACACCTCCCCTATTTATTAAGCTACCAGTGCTTGGTAAGCACTAGAGTTGTAGAAAATAACAATGAAACTTTCTGATATGGCTGCCTCCTTATGACATGTGAATTTTTCCTTTTCATTCTCTTGTTAAAGGATTACACCCAGAAAGACTCATCACTGGATTTTTACCAGGAATGGCAATGGAGGAAGAGGGGAGTAAAAAATGAGTAAATAGTAAATGAATATATCATAAAAGCGATGAATGGCAAGTAACTAAACAATAAGAAGATTATCAGGACAGTATCACTAAAAAAGGGAACCTGAGAGAATCACAGGAAAATTACTAGAAACCAGAACTATAGAGCAGAAAAGAGAAAGTACAACTACACAGGGAGTAATGAAAATAATGTTATCAAACAAATGTGTATGCATGGATAAAAATTAAGTTGCTATGCATACCTTCACCTAATAAAACCAAAAGCAATGATTTTTTTTAAAAAGGAAGCTTTTAAAAATAATTTCTAGTGATACGAGGAAATGTCACTAAAAACGTTTATCTAATAGGCAACAAATAAACTGGTTTCAAACTGCTATTGCTGAGTAGTATCATTATTTTCTCTTTTTAATTCTTCCATTTTCCCAACTGTCATCAGTACGAATGATGTATATCTTCATAATAAAGAAGAAGGGGAACTATTAGGTTTTTAAAAAATTATTATTACTATTCATTTTAAAGAAAATTTACAGAGACTTTAAATTTCCATTCATTCATTGTTGCACTTTTCTCCCTACCCATCTATACCCCCAAGTACATTCTTCTCTTGGAAAAGCATAAGAAAAATTCTTTCATTGTTTTACAATCCCTACCTTCAGGTTCACTCCACCATGCAGCCTTCAATCTAGACTCCTATCATGACAACAATACCTACTCATATTTCCCTTTTAAACAGTTCTCTCCTTTATCTGTTTCAATGCAGTATATATTATTTATCCCACCTTTCTGAGTTTCCTCCCACCCCGATATCAATCCTGTTTTACAACACTGACACCATGCAATATTTGTCCTTTTATGACTGAGATACTTCACTAAGAATAATGTCCTCCAGGGTCACCCATTTTGAATAATATTGCATGAGTTCCCTATTTTTCAATGCAGCATAGTATTCCATTTTGTGAATATACCACAGCTTCTCTATCCATTCATTTGTTGATGGCACCTAGGTTGTTTCCAACTTCTTGCTATTGTGAACAAAGCCACAATAAACATGGTGTGCATATATCTGCTCGGGTGGCAGTTATGGTCTATTTAGGGTATATTCCCAGTAGTGGAATTGCTGGGTAAAATGGTTTCTGTATTTGCAAGTTTTTGAGACAGGTTCACACCACTTTCCACAATGGTTACACCATTTTACACTTCCACCAACAGTGAATAAGGGTTCCAGTTTCTCCACAAGCTCGCCAGCATTTCTTGCATGCTACTCTGTTAAATTTTGCTATTCTTACTGGGGTGAGATGAGATCTCATAGTTGTTTTGATATGCATCTCTCTTAGAGCTAGGGATTTTGAATATTTCTTCATGTGCTTGTTGGCCATCTGAACTGTCTTCCTTGGTCAAGTATCTGTTCATATCCTGTGCCCATTTTCTAATTGGATTGTTTCCCTTTATCTTGTTGTGGTGCTCAAGTATTTTATAAATTCTAGATATAAGTCCCTTATCTGACATGTGATTATCAAATACTTTTTCCCAGTCTGTGGCTTCCTTTTTATCCTGTTGGACTTTTTAGCTGACTCTGAGAAGATGGGAATCCCAGAACAACTGACCATGGTAATGAG